CAGTGAAGCTCTTTTCAGATTAAAAATACCTTTGAGGAAATGTATTTTCAGATGGCAAGTAAACTGCATCATAACAGCCCTGCCCCACACTGAAACGGGTGGGACAGAAGCGGAAGTTGGTTCTTAAAGAGACAGAGGCCAATTTCAAGGCGTTTAGAAGAGGAAGTGATGAGAAGATAAGTTTATTTTCTATTTAAACATAAAAACAGTATTTTAATAACAGCTAAAGGTGACATAGATACTTTATTATGGTATAGTATTTAAATATATGCCTGAGAAACACAATATTGGCCCTTTAAATGTAGGTCATCAGACAGGTTATGATCCTGTAACTTAGATGTATTTTGAGCCTTTTTAATCATCCTTGGTCTCGTTTTCATACCTCCACGTTAACACCCTAATAGGCCCAACTGAGAGCAGTGCATGCTGGTTAATGGAGTTCCTGAGCAGCTCGTGGGGATGGAGCGAGGGGAGGAACTGTATCCAGGTAATTACAGTCTGAGGGGCCGCGGAGGTCCTCTGTGATTACACATCACCCTCAGTAATGGATTCAACACATACAGATGTAGAGCGAGCCTGCATTCCTTACTCTCCTCTCAAACCCCCCCCACCCATCGTGACAGCGGGGGACAGGCGGCGGGGCGGGGAGCCGGCAAGGTAGGCTGGGTAGGTATATCTGCAAGATGGATTACGTGGGGTTTGCCGAGTTCAACATTGACACAGATTCATCGTAAATCATTATGCTGGGGACCCGGAGTGATTTCTGCATTAGGAGCAGAAAATGGAGTTCATGCAGTCAATGAGGGAGGGCATATTTCACATCAATCACCTCCACACTCATGTTACCCAGGCTTAAATCTCACTTATGCTGCTACCAATAGGGTTCAATAGCTATGATGACAATCAGCAAGGCTCTGCGTTAACAGGACCCCACTGACTCTAAAGAGGGCAGAGCACGGGGGTTTTGCTGCTGTTCGTTTCCAGTAAATAATGTATGAATTGAAATTGAGCAAAAAATGTTTCTGATAACAAGGTTTGGCATGATAATTTTGGATTTTTATTTTTTCAAACTTCAAAATGTCAGTTGCCAAACTTTACAGCTCAAGCGAAAGAGTTTGAATCTCCTAAATGCATGAATTGAAGCCGAGGATTTTCACTTGAAATAAAAATACTTTGGAGGCTGTGTCACAGGAGCGAAGTCTGTTTTTGAACTGAAATGAAAGTTTAAGCTCTGTTTTATTAAAACTGGATATGCTGAAGAATATATATTTTCATTTTTTTCTTTCTTTGCCAGATAGGAATTATAAATTTAATGACAATGTTGAAAAAGTAGTTTTGAAAAAGCTAATAGTGTTTCAGTTTAACTATAAAAAATACATTTTCAAATACTTGCAAATGAAGAAAATACAGGAAAGTTATATTTATAACCATTATTATATAATGTGTACAAGCTGGGACAATGTGTACGACTAATTTATTATTAATTATAGCATTACTCAGTTTTTTAAAATGTAAGTTGTGGGTTTTGAAAGGCTCCTATAAATATAAAAAGTTTGCTTAAATTTTTATATTTGTTTTATATTAGTATTAGAATTCACTGCAAACATTGATTTTTATTGTCTTAGCAGTTATATAACAAATTTATGGTTAGACTTTATTGTTGTGAGTAGTTTCTCTCCATTTTGAGGACATATTAACACTTTTTTACTTTTGTTAACCATTTTGCCTATATATATGTATATATATATATGTAAATTATTAACATATTGACAGCTGTATCACACATTTAATGTTATTTTGAGTTATATTTAATCAATTTGTGGACATGTTAAGGCTTTTTTTTTAACTTTTAATAACTTTGCCTTCATTTATTTTTCCATTTTGTCTTTTTTAAGCCATTGTTTTATGTCATTAATATGCATTTATACTAAAACGGTCTCTGGAAGCTCATTGGGACTCTATTTATGATTTAATAAGTGTGTAATAAACATTATACTGGTAAAATTGGGCGGATATTGTACCAGAGTTATTTCATTTTGCAACTTTACCAATTTTTTCCACCTAGTAACCCAAAGTAGACATAAAAAAAGGCTGAAATAGATAAATTTCTTCTTCGTCTAATGTAATATTGGAGTGGGAAAGCTGCTCAAGCAGGGCTTTGTTTTCCTCTCTGCCGACAGGGAAAGTGAGGAGCGAGGCTTCACTGGCTGCTCTGCAGGAATCCGGATGTGATGAAAAAGTTTTGTGTCCCGAGCAAACTGCCGCCACCGAACCGAGCGTCGAAGGCGTCGAGAGGGGATCATGTTTTCAGCTTTTCGGGCGTCGAGCAAAAACAGCTGGAATAAGTAAAAACAGCAAACTTATTACGAGTTTTGAAACAGGGCAGACTTTTGGACCTTGGGTTTCTTTTCTTACAAAGTTTTAGTTTTTTTTTTTTTTAAACTTTTTCCTCACGACCAAAGAAGAAAACAAAAGTCAGATTTGGAAGTGGACATGTTTGGAAGGTAGGTTCTGCGTCAWTAACAAAACAGCAGGCTTTAATTGATAACCTCGCACGCGCTCCTTACTTTTAGCCAAGCTGCGTGAAAATTAGTGTCGCGCGCGGAGCAACTTTTAGAGCTAGCTSTTTGTTTTTTTATTAAGGGAATTTTCCACAAACTTCTCGACGTGACTTCCTCAAATGTTACTTTTGTGCCTAAAAGCTGCGTTTGGTTGGTTTTCACAGCGTTGAAGGGTGAGGAAAAAACGGGAAAAAAGAAGAAAAAAAAAGGGGGAGGAACTACTTACTTCTGTAGTTGTGTTTTCGTTTCCCCCCTGAGGAAGACACGACTGTCTCATGTCCAAGGAGACTGTCCATCCATCAGACGGGCCAGCGGGTCCAGAAAAGCCCCCCCGGCACGAGACAAGCCCCCTGCTGTCAGTGTCACACGGTAAGAGCGCACAAGACAGACCATTAATCAGTGGCTTTAGATATTTATCAGTAAATGTAGGTTAAAGTCAAGTGGGAGTCCCACAGCTGGTTTATCAGGCTTTAATCTATATTTCATTAAGTTGCTGTGATTAAAAAAAAGAAGAGAGAAACACTCAAAATAGCTGTTGCTTTTGTTCACAGATTTTTTTTTTGCTGTGAAGTCAAAAAGTGTGAAACAAGTCTGCTTTTTGCACATCAATGTGTTTCCTTCATGCTGCTAATAAAACAGCTATAAATAGCTACACAACGTCTTGTTCCCTTCAGCTTGTTTTGATTGCACAGCACAACTTAAAATAAAAACAACCGAAAAAAAGGAAGCTAAAACTGAAAARTGACTAATAGAATGCAGCAAATCAGCGCTTATCAGTCTTCTTAGGACAATCTCTGCCTCCCCTTTTTTATTTTTAAATTATATTCATGCAACTTCACCAGGATCTGTGCTTTAGTCTTAAGCCTTGATAATGTTTATGCCCCACCCCCCGCACCCCCAATAAAGTCTGAAGAAACACCCTCATGACTATTAACAGCAACCACAGCCAATTATAGTTTTTAATTAACTTTCCAGTTGCCCCTAAGATTATCACGTGTAAAATAAGCTTACCCCCGCACCCGCTTTCCATTTTTTTCCCTCCAACAATCAATGAACCGTTAACCGAGCATCATTACGGCGCTGTCAGAAAAATAGCAAAGTAGGACAAAGTCAGAAATCATTTTTGTTTTTAAAGAAATGTTCTTATTTGGATTGGCTGGACTTTCAGTTGAGACTGGATCCTGAAACTAAAATATGCAACTTTTTATCTGGAACTTCTCCCCCTCTTTTTGTTTTTAATCTTTCGGTGCTCACAAACAGAATTGTCGCCGAGCAGTTTTGCCAAATCACCCTGCTTTCGTTTTTCCGTAGCACTTCAACGTGTTCACTCCGAAACGTTTAASTGAAACCTTTCCAGGCCTCGAGAGAGCTCCTGGCAGCAAACCAGTGAATGAACTCTTTGTGGACGGTTCGCTTGCAGCAGGAAGCAGCAGCGTGCGATGAGCAAAGCATAACCAAGGTTCGCTGTCAAGAAGGAGACGAGTGTCTTTTGCTATCAGCCCGAATGTTTGTTTGTTTGTTTTTTTTTTTTGCTTTTTTGCTCACATACTTTTTCCAATTGAGATGAATGCAGCCTTTATGGTAGCGAAAGAATTTTGGCAGCTYGAGCACACCCGGGAGCAGAAAAGGAGAGAAAATGAGATCCAGAGCTCTGGCAAGGCCTTTACCTGAACCTCCCCAGCTCCATGTTGAGCCGTTTTCACCAGTAAGATTGTTTTCTCTGGYTCAGGACTGGACCGAGCGACCCTGACATCCTGCCCACTTGATCTAAGCCTGCAGCGAACGAGTTTGTTATAGCATAAAATGAAATCACGAAACCAAAACAAGGCCTTGTTGGTCACCGTGCGTTTTTATTTTATTTTATTTTGCTGCTGAACCTTTTGATCAATATTCAGTGTG